TATTTATTCAATTTGTTAAAAAAAATTTCTGGTGATTCGTGCGGTCCCTCTCTTTCAGTGATGTTTTTCTGTTGATTGCCCTATCCCTTGCTCAGGCAATAAATTTGTCGCTAGTTCTAGAAGTGATGAAATATTAAGGAAGCTTAGAAATTGTTGAAACTTGGAAATCTTAAAAAAGGGGATTCAAACTTGACTATTTTTCACGAAGTACGGGAGAAGTGAAGTGAATAGTGAATGAAATATTTAAATAGGGAAGAAATGGACTAAATGTATTTTATGAGAAATATCATTAAGTACTCATATCCAAATAAGCAAAAATATGCGAGATAAAAAGCTGAGTAATTAAGCAATCAAGGGAAGCAAAAATAGACAGTATAGAGAGCGGCGATAATAAAAAATATTACTAGTATGATTTTAGTTTTATACATTCTAGTCAAATCGGAACCTGTTTGAATGCAATATATCAGAATGAACTAGGTGTGTTGTTTGCACGAGATTTTCAGAACTGAAAATTATTGATTAATATATGAAAGATTTTTAAGGTACTTTGTAGTACTTTAAAAGAGAAACATTAAACGGATGTTATGCTTGAGTACAGAGAAGTAGGGGAAATTAAGAAAAAGGATAGGAGTTTTAGAGGAATGACGAGCAACAGAGAGAAGAAAAGAATCTGAAATTTAAAAAGAATATTATGGCTTGTGTCGAATCTTTCAACAAATTTTATTTGTTTTATTGTGCTTTATTGATAATCATTGAAAAGTTGCATGGGTAAAATGTCCCTTTTCAAAATATTTTTTTCCTCATTTCAGCGTAAAGCAGTTGGGAAACTTTTTTGCAATTCCAATCTAATTTTCATTTTCAGCGAATGCATTACTCCAACTGATTAGATAAAATTAGGAAAAATGACTGAATGAACGCTACTGTTTGCTGAAATGATTCATTTGTAAAATTCTGAACCCTCAAACTGAACACCGTAAACGAAGAAAAATTGTTCTCTTATATATTAGTTCTAAGTCCAATTATAAAACTTTCTGTGTAGAGGAAAGTTTTATTTCAATGTTACACATTTATTTCATATGTTTTATGGACATTTTTGCGGTCTGAAGAACTTTAAAGTGTATTTTTGCTGATAAGGTGTGTTTTTTTGTCTTGTTTTCCAATGTTATTAGAGATCTCAGGGCATCACTATCTTACGATTCGTTTGAATTAGTTTTCTTTGTAGATCTCCTACCTCCAATACATGAAACACTATCGTCATTCCGTCAGTCTTCGCATTTACTGAATGAAACGACAGTCTCTGGAAGCCACCACCATCGTCTTCAGAATCAGATGACATCAACGGTCGAGGAACGACCCTCTGACAGTTTCGAACGAAATCAACAGCAACACCTTGCTACGCAGCCATCCGTTACATTAAAAAATACGACTGTCATGCAAGATATTTGTTCCGGTAGTGGTAGTGGTGCAGTGTACACACAGCAACAGATTACGACGGTATCAGATACTAACTGCATGTACAATCGACGACAACACCTTTCTACAATCGAACGACCGAGTAGTATGAACACATACCACCAAGGTTCACATACTCTTTTTATATTAGCAAACAATAAATAGTGAAATTCATCTTTGATCCTTTCTGTGCCGTATGTATGCGTTTTATCACACATATATCATGTATTACAGGAGGGTGAGAAGATATTATCAGATTACTGAAATTTCAGTTGGAATAGAAGCAGCAGCAGCATGTCATTCAGTGATTATAAATCACATTTAACTAGGATTTAGTCTACGTCGGCTGGATTTTATTGCCATAATGTATTTTTTGAGAAGTCTAAATTTTATTCCAATTTGCTTGCCATTCTTTACTGAAACTTAGTGTTGAGAGGTGAATATACATCCGATTGTTTCGAAAGCAGAGGAGACATTTTGTTTCGAAAGCAGAGGAGACATTTTTATCTGCCTAGGGTTATTTCTTCCGATTGTTACGAAGTCATTTGATTCTTTATTAGTTTTCTTTGAATATTTACTATCACATCTCTAACGTTTAACGGAAAAGGTATTTGAGATAAGTCTCAATTCTTGTATGTTTTACGTTTTGATGTAGACCCTAAAACCTATTAAAAATAGTGTCGAACATATTAGACTAAACTGAGTTGATTTCATAATTTATTATTTGTCTCTTTTGTATCGGTAAAAAAAAAAATCGGTAAAAGTTTTACCGAATTATGAGTTCAAAATTAAAATTCATTTTTCAAAACAATTTTAAACATTTTCACTCTCTCTCTTTCCATGTATATAATGATTTATCGCAACCGCATTGCAGACTTAACAACAGAACTAATACCATCGACCACCGTTGCTGACAATAATAATGATCATTCCGATGAACAACACTATTATACAACAACGGGCCCGCATCACCAGCAACATTTTATACATAATGATTATACGCCATCTGGTCTTCGTTAGTTCTAATTTCGAAAATCTTCAAAAATTTTATAAATACATTCAGTTAAAAAACATATAGGGAGAAAATTATCGTAGAATTTCCTAAATTATTCAGTTATCTCGCGTCACTCAGCATATGTGCTACCCAAAATACTTGTGATACAGAAGAACAATGATGATAATAATATAGATGTTTGGGAGGAAAGAACCAATTTTATAGTCTTTTTCTTCGTTTGTTTAAAGCCAAGATTATAATATTTTGTGTTAACGGATAGTGGATGTTAAGAAATAGAATTATGCTGTAATAGTTACCGCAACTATAGTAGGTGATAACGCAATTAAAGTTTTATTGATTTTGTATTCCACAAAACATACCTTTAAAATGGAGAAGCGTTTAAATACATAATGGCAGTCTTTTCCAAGTGCACACACCTTATTTGATCCTAGGTTTCTGTTTCTAAAAGATTTTTATATTTAGTTTGTATATTTATATTCTCTAATTTTTTTAATACTGTTTTTGAAAGAAGTTATAGCTGCAAACATATCGGCTTCTATAGTAACGTAATTCTCCTCTTCCTTTGGAAAAATTGCATCATATTATTCTTCTTATAGCCTTTTTTGATCTGATTCTACTTCTCTTTCACTACTGCATTTGATAAAATAATGCAGTAACATGGTTTTTCTTTATTTCTGAGCTTTGTTTAAAATAATTTTTTTCAAAGACAACTTAATTTGTTAATGGAATAAAGGAATAGATAAAAAAACTAACAATGCCAATTTTCTTCAAAAAATTAGCAGAATATTCGATTTTTCGCAACGTGATCTTGCTGCTATAGAAAACAGAACAGTAGTCGGATAATTCTGATGCAAGTGGTATCATCATGTTCGATGAAAAGTGTTATGTTTAAGTATCGCAAATTGATATGTGAACTGGTCAATACTCGAGGAACCATTATTCGAAATAATTAAATGAAAATGTTCATTAGATATATGTATAAATCATTTGCTTGTATAGGTTCTACTCTTTTTTCAGGATTATCTGTTATTGGTGTGCTACTAGAAGTATTCTTGGTATCTTGTCTAGCGAAATTGATAGTGTTTATATTCCAGAAACACATGCTTTTTTTTAACAATAGTTTAGTGAATTTACGACAATTAGTACCTTGAGATTAGGTCTTCCATGCATTGGATTTAGCCATTTGAATGATGATCCTCATTGTGATGTATTTAACGGGTTTTCGCTTTATATTATTACGCATTTCAGCTATTAAATATGGAGGGAATGATGTTTGATTTTTTAGATTAAATATTTCCAGGTACATGTAACGATCATAAATTGATGTAGTAATAGTAGTAGTTAGAGTAAATAATTGGGTTGTAATTGAAGTGGTTAATTACTAGGATAGTAAATTCATCACCATGGTGATGAGCAACATAGTAATCGCTAATTTGTATTTGTTTAGTGATCATTTTTTTTTAAATAATTAATCTGCACTTTTCCACTTACTTTTTCAATTACTTTCAAAATTTCTGCACATTGAATTCTTGAATGAAAATGATTTGTATTCAGAAAAGATGCTTAATATCCTGCACTTCATAGTATTATCTCCTTTACTGATCAATATCACCATAATGAAATATTGTAAAACAGGGGAAGAATTGAACTGTAACGAATGGCAAATGATTGTAAATATGTTAGAGACCGTAATTTAGATTGTTATAGCCTGAACTTCGAAGTAATATTAGAAATCTCTTTGCTATGAGGAGGGAAAGTTACATGGGCAGATGTTAGTACCGAAAAGAAAAACAGTATGATTGGCCAAATATTCTTTAAGTGGATTTTTTAGAAAACAGGTCTTACATTTTTATGATAATTTGAGTGAATTTGAAAGCTTATGAAAATATTATCACCTCATTCATATAATGTCAAATTATTGACTACTTTTTAATTCATCTGGAAGACAGATATCTATGATGCATGGAATATTCATGCCATATGCCCTGTTTGTCTTCATTACTGTGAACTTCTAAGATCCGTGCAAAATTTATTTCAGCTCAACAACAGCAGATGACTGCACGGAATGTAACAACACTGGCTGAAAAATTGCCTGGATTACAAGGACAGAGTTGTCAGTTTATCAGTGCTACTGGGATTAATCACAATGATGGAACAGGTTATTTTGAAACTGATTTAGATTAAATTTTATAATATCCAAGGTATTGTGCTTCATGTTTAAACATCATAAATTTGATGTTGCAGAAACATATTAAAGTTCTATCTATGCGGGGTGCCAGTAAATTACACCTAATCTGAATGTTTGCGTCTCCATTTCGTCTATCGAACATAAGCAGTGCAGGCACATAAATGTATTCTTGATTTTGATAAATATTTGACTTACTTAATTACAGAAACAATGAAATATCGAAAATCAATTGCAGGACCTTATGTGGTAGTGAATCAACAGTCTATCGGTACTTGTGATTATCTAAACAATAGTTTAAGCAGTAACGGAAGTGGTATCGATAATATGGAACCATGCTCGAAGATTACAGGTTCATTGGTAACAAGTGCAAAACAGCATGAGCCACAGCGTGTAACCTGTGTATTTAACAGTGATACTACCAGTGGAATGAATAGAGATATTAATGATGATGGGGCAAAGCTGCAACGGTTTTACACCACCTCACGGAATGTCACCTTACAAGGTTTGCAGGCTGTTAAGACATTTGTTTGTGCTTTTAGTGGGAGCACTACTGCCTTCAATTAAAATCGATGGACTTTTGAGATCTTATTATCTCTTTATTACAGTAAAGTATTCTTTGCAGCCTATATTCTGTACTTAACTTTCACTAAAATTTAATATGTGCTATGTTTTCGAAACATGTGACTAGTAAATTGATTGAAGTTTTTTGAGCTGAAAAGTTGAACGATTGACATTTGTCAAGTATTTATTTCAAATTATAAATTCTAATTCAAAATAAGAGCCAATATTCATCAATGACAAGTAGAGTCAGAGATTGTAGATTGGATCTTATTGTCCTCAAACTTATTTAAAATGTCTTTTTGAGTTTTTTTTTGCATTCCTTTCTTGATTGTCATTTCCTTATAACTAATCTCTGCTTTCAATATTTAAATTCTTTTCTAACCGCACTTTCAATTTTTTAATAATATATCGATACTCAGTAAATGTCGAAAAGTTTAGTCTTACTTTTTCATTGTAAGAAAAACTTGAGGATTACTAAATTTTTTTGAATTTTATGGTAATCCATGAATTTAGGAATCGATTTTTTTATGAGAGAAAGGTAGTAATTTTCCCGAATTTGTTCAAAACGGTGCTGCTTTTAGTTTTATATAGTGTTTTGACCAATATATAATGTTGTGGTATAGTTTTTGCATACTTGCTCATATGATTCCACTCCATTTTATCGGTGATTTGATTATATTTAATTTACTCCGTGTCGTGAAATAAGATTTCCAGTACCCTGGAAAAGTTAAGTCATCTAACCTTTTTCTTTATTCGCTTTTATTGATTATTTGTTAGATTTATATCATAACTAAAATTTCCACTTAGCAAGTTTATCTTTGTTGGATATATCTATTGATGGATTACGTAAATGGAAGCAGCAATTGAATCTTTATTGCTTTAGCAATCTTTATACAAGCACATCTTTACATATATTTGAACAATTTAATTATTATATGTAACCGCTGTTGAAACAATACCTTATTCGTTGGTGGAGTTGGACTAAGTAATTGGCAGTAAATTAATATTGACTTGATCGTAATGTATAGGTATTTCTTACTGGTTCTTATATGTTTTTGTATAATTCAATAATCATAATGAGAACTTTATATAACATTAGATTTTATGATGACAAGCAAGAAATTTTGAATCACTGATGTTCAGAATAGTTTTCCATGCAGTTTGTAAATTATTATTAAAACAAAAAGATTTAATAAAGCATATTAATCAACGAAAATTCATAGCATATTTTTTTTTTTGTTTTCCAGACTTTAAATCGCCCTTAACGCTTTAACTATGTTTCATCTTTACTACTTTGTTTTCTTAATTGTTAGTAGATTTCGATCTTGTTGTTTCTTTATTATTTTGCCGAATTTTGACTCTTTTTGTCGTAAGTTTCATCTTTATTATATCCTCCCTTTTCTTCCCCTTTCTCATGTCCTTCGCTTTTGTTATCACACAAAAAACTGGAGTGGAGAAGAGAAAAGAAAATATGGAAAAAAAGGCTATTGCAATCTAGAATTATTGTTTTTATTGCATTAATTCTTTAAAATATTCTGTCATCCTAAAGGAATCTGTCTGCTAATTTAGTCTTTTCAAATACCAGCTTTTTGCAGCAAAAGTTATCTAATATATTTTTCACAAAAATATATGGTATCTTAGGTACATTAGGAGCGAATGGTCCGATAATAACGGGTCAGCGAACTTATTTGCTTGGTAGTACCAGTAACAGTAGAAGCAGTAACAATGGCAGCGGAAGGCAAATGGATGCAATGAATATATCAAAAAATTATGTTATCTCCTCAGGAAATAGCTGTCAAGAACAGCAGCATTATGTTCCTATACGATCATCATTCAGGTTAGTGCATATTTTTTGATGCACCTTTAGCATTCATCTCACTATCGTGAGTGACATGAAGTGGGTAGCTGGATATGTTCTTTGAAACATCTAGCAATTGAAAAATTAATGTTCTGATTCAAGTGGTCATTGCTTCTTGTTGATCAAAAAAGTGAAATAAATTCTGTATCCTCCCACCAGTAATCTAATGTTATGATTTAACGGTAAGTTTGGTAAATTGAAAAGATAGGTAAAAAAGTTATTTTTAACGTGTAGGTATTTATTGCTGTTATACTCATTATTCCCTTTTGATATAGTTCTTACAGCAGTAAATAAAGAAAATGTAATAACTTGTGACAATTCTTTCATAAATAGTGCTATTTTTGTGTACTTCGTAAGGCAGTGCAAAAGCGGCTGAGACGTAACATCCATGGGTTAAGAAGAAAGCATAATGCAAAGGAAAAAAATTTTGTGAAAACGATTTTTTTTTTCGAACTCTTCGTATTCTCTTTCATTGTTTAAGTGTTTTTATAAAGTACAACACTGTAAGATGTCTCTTCCTCTCTCTTTCTCCGTTCAACTAACAATATTGTTTACATTTCGATTTATATTTTTTGAGCTGACATCCCTTTCTTGCTTAGCTTTTAATTTTTCTCGAATTTTCATCTTACTTGTTTGGTAAGATTACCGATTTTCATTATCTTGATAATTTGTTGGTGTAGCTTGAGAGTTTTAATAATGATGAGTTTTTTCGAAACATTCAAATTTCTTTTAAAATTAATCCATTGATTTGCGCGAAAGAAAGAACAGTTTTTTCTAAAATCTGAGGAGTTGATACTTATAAGATGAATCAGGAATAATAAAAATTATAAGAAAAAATAAAATTTAAAGAAGTAAAACCTGTGATGTAATTTTTTCACGAAAGTACAGCATTTTCCGTGATTTAGATCGTCAGGTACAACTGAACGAAAGTCAAATCGTTCATCGTCCAAAAAGGAACCAATGGATCCAAAGAATGTTGAAGAAGAAGTGGCTAGGTGTGTTTTTTTTTTTTTTTTTTCATAAATTAAGTTTGTTAAGACGTTTATTTGCCAAATGATTTCTTATCAGAGATGCTTTTCAAATTGTTTTTTTCATGGCAAGGAATACCAATAATGATGTGGGAAATATCACGAAAATTCCTTACATTAAAGAAAGAAACTTCTTTCAGAAATGTTTCACAGATTCTGAGTGCATCACTGAATCAGAAGTCATCATCATCAGGTTTGTTATTCATCTTTCGAAAATGCTACCTACGTAGTAATGCTACTTAAAATGCTACTTACGTAGTCCTCTTTTACAAATTCCGAGTAAATCATTTCTTGATTCTTATAAATTAGCTATAGAAAGAAAAAAGTCTACATGTTTTCATAATAACAGCCGTTTTAGATTCAGCATAATTCAAGTAATGATCCTGATTCAGTACTGGAAATTGTGCTGAACTTAAAATGGCTATATGGAGTACAAAAATTAAGTCCAAGAAGAAGTTTATAAATTTCTGGAACATTGGAGAGTATAGAATTTAGTGAAACGAGAGGAAAGATGGGAACACGAACTATTGAGGAAAAATATTAGTTAAATAAAATTAACAGAACTGTATTTATCGTTTTTTTTATTAATCCTATACATATGCAGTCTTCTAATTTTCTTCACTGTATATTTCATTTTACATGAGAACATTTCTTGTCTTTTTTTATGAAAACTACAACTGCAGGTTTTGCATCAACAACAAGTGGATCTGGTGCAAATGTACAGTCGTCCACCAGCAGCACTACTGCTACGTCAGCTCCTTCAACAACAACTAAGAAATCATTTACTTGTGCTGATTGTCACAAAACTGTAAGCACTTCTCGCAATTTACAACGTCATCGGATGTCGTGCAAATTGGCACAGGCATCGTCAAACACAGAGAAATCGATGGCAACCGGTGCTGGACAACTTCAGGCAACCGTTATCACCATGCCTTTAAATTCCACACAGGTTGATTTTTATTAATTTTTCTGATAGACAAAATCATTAGAGAAGAACCATGAAATGAAATATAAAGGTATTGTTATTTAGTGTGGAAAATTAAGTTATTAAAGGCAAAATTAATCTAAATTTGATTTAACCAAGTTAGTTGCTGATATAGAAATTTATATTTGATGTTTTACAGACTTTTTAGTAATTCAATTAGTTTTTGTAATTCTCTTCATTTCAAGATTAATGGATTATCTGACGCATATTCGGCTGATCAAAAGAGTACAAACAATGCAACAACGAGTTCGATCTCGTCATCAGGAATAATACCAGCGTCGAATATTATTCCTACATCCTACAGTAATAATTTAACTACATCAGTTGGTGATACGATTGATGTGTCATCAGTCAGCAATCAGCGAACCACGCAAATATATAACACTCAGTCTGAAATAATTGCTTCCGATGAAAGGTTTTATTTTTCAGGCTCTATTTTTTAAATTGGTAATACATACTCCATTAATGTATCTCTCTCTATTGGTAACTTTAACATGTGTAGAAGAAACCTTTTTTGGTAAGGTATCCAAAAAATGAGATTTAAAATTTTAAATCCATGTGCTGGAATCTCATCAAAGTGAATAAAAACCTTTAATGTTCCGATTTCAATTGCTGTCCAAATCACATGCTACTCTATAAATGCTTAGGCTATTTTTGTGATTTGGAGTAACATTTATACCAAACATTTTTTAGTTGTAGGTCCTGGGCTGAACATTGTAAAGTAGTTGTTCCTTTCGAAAATTGGCTGGTGGGTTAGGAAAAATTTTTTATATTCTTTCTGTAGGTTTATGCATTGAGATCGTTGATGTGAGCATCGTTTAAAACATTTTTAAACAATGAGAGGCTTTGTGCACATGTGAGATTGACTGAGATAGCTATGAATACAACTGTGATTGGTGCTAAAGGTTCATTAATGTTGTTAAAGAAAAAAGTGTTTAGGTTGAGACCAGTGTGTGAAGATTCATATCTGGACAAGGCAGTAGCAGAGATGACAAGAAATGGTGATTTGAATACAATGACTGCTGGAAGGTATACTCTTTTATATTATTTAAACTGTAATGCTAAATTATTCTTTTAAAACAATGTTCAACAGAAACATTATTCAAATTTGGCATCAAGTACAAATAAATTCTAATAGTAATGATTACGTAGTGACTAATCTAGACCATGCGATTAACGGAAAAATCTTTTTCGCTGTTATTACAGTACTTTATTAGCAGAGAACTGTTCCATTGATTAAATTAGTGGCAAGCAGTGGAGAGTTTTGCATTGAAAGTCATGAGTAACTTTACAGGTATAGCTCTTACGAATTTTATTCAATTGAAGGTATTCTTTTTGAAAGCGCTAGAAAAAGAGAGCTAATATTAAAAATGATTTGACTTTTAATCTGGAAGAATTTAAAAGAATTTATTTGTTGATAGCTAATAATAATAACAAGTGGAAATATCCCTTGAAAACAAAAAAAAAAGCTGTAGAAATTGGTATTGTTTTTTGGAGCAATTGTTTTTCGGAAGCTTGGACCAAGTTCTTAATATCTTCTGAACAATAGCTTTTAGGTTCTAAATGAGAGAAAGATATGAAAAATTAAGAGATGCCTCTTCCATTTGCTATTGTTTATGTATTCTAAAAATAAATTTGATTTTGTTTTACAGTTTTATAGGAATATATTTTAGACTGGCTTCAAGCTTGTTGGATGAAGACGACCATACGTTTTCAACGATATCCTTGCCAGCAGCTACAACCACAATAGATGGTTCTCATCCGTTTCAATCGTCTGTCCAAACATCTTCGAACAGTGAATCAATTAATCTCCCTATTTATACGCAACAGTCAGCGCAAATCAAAAGACCAGTATGTTTTTTTCTAAAGGTTCTCATACATATTATAATCAGGTTCTCTTGCATATTATAATCAGGTTGTTCATCAATAGACCTTTTCAGGTTATTGAAGAGAAGTTAAGATACTGAAATAGTCATGTGATTTCGTTTGGTTTAATTTGCATTAGTGCATTATTTTTATAAATGGAAGTAATAGCTTTTTCTCGTAGGGTACTTCTATGCAGTTATACCGATGCGAGTCATGCAACAAAACGGTCAGTTCGAGCAGAAGTTTGAAGAGACATCGTAGTACTTGCAAACAGTTCCAACTTGAATATGGGCAGTTGAGACAAAAGTCAGCTGATAATATGAGTCCTACAGCAGACTCTAAAAGGTTAGAAAATTTAATGAGAAAAGAAAAAAAAATGTGTTTTCCCATACGGGTAGAAAGTTTTCAGTATGTTTCCTAATAAATTTTCATTTCAAAACTTCAGACAGGTTAATCTTCCATATAGATTATTAGGAATGGTGTTAATTTCAATAAATTATATTTTATTAATTTTGGCAACAAAATTATGATCGCGGAAGTTGCACGCTCCTTCACTAAATTTTTAGTTGTGATGCAGCATCTTTTTAATCATGCATACCCTGCTATGTATTTGTGATTCAAGCTTAAATTTTTCATACTCGGAAGCTCTTTTCTATTTAGAAATTTTGTAGAAAATTTTTTTTGAATTATGAAGTAGTATCTCTTGTGATCTTCAAACTAAAAATATTTTTTGCATTGGCTGGTAAAGGTTGCTGCATTAATCCATCTAGTGAATGTTTGAAGAGAATGTTTGGATGACCGGCATATAACATACATTCTTCATTAGCAAATGATTTTATCGGAATTTGTAGCTTATGAAGTTCCCATATTGTTGTTCTTTAATCTTTTTTTTTTTGATCTGCTTTGTTAGACATTGAGTTTTGCACTGAACGCGAAATTTGAATATTCTTTTTAAGTCATAATAAATAATATAATTAACCAATTTGCGTATAAGAATTATGCTTTTGTATGTGTCGCTGTGTTGCTCAATGTTGCATTTCAAGCAGTACTATTTTTTTTCAGTGAACCACTTCTATTGAATTCATCGGTGAATGCATTACCATCTGCACAAGAGCAGCTATCGCTGCAGCGACAGTCCCTTGCTTGTACTGTTACCGAATTACCGGTCGTTAGTAATGTTGTTTCGCCCGCTTCCTGTAGTGTGCCGACTCAATCAGAAGTTCAGGTCACCGGGTCTGTCATTTGCACATTTTGCAGATTTCTTCAGTTTTAATTTTTTTCATTGGCTATAAATACATGGTTGATTCCCAACTCTTCCATTACTTTTATCAAACATTTGGACTAATTTCTGAGCACAATACATGTTAATAGCGTTAGCCTGAGTAAAAAATACTTATCACTCAAATTCTATTTCTGCTAGTTAATTCAGTCTCTGAAAAAAGGTAAAGATCATAGAGGTAATCTGGAGCACTAAGTTTAATAGATTATAATTTTATTTTTTTGTTTACTAAAGGTTTTGAGATTTTTATGTCAAGAGAGAACTATGTGGTGATGTAATAGATTGATCGGTTTTGCGTTAATTCTAATTGGTTTAGTATGGAAAGTGGTGTAGTACAGAATCGAGCAAGTAGTAATGGTACAATAACAGCTGGCACATCTGTCAGTGCAAATGTTTGTGAGGACTGTAATCGAATTTTATGTAGTGCATCGAATCTGAAACGACATCGTGCGACTTGTAAAGCGGCATCTGTTTTTAAGTAGGTTTTACTGATCACCAAATTCTCAAAACTTTTAATTAGACTTGATTAAATCTTCGACATTCACGAGGAATGCGGTCTTTTTGTCTTAATAAAATCTGGATCGTCAGGAAGATTCGTTTCGCTTCACAGTATCATCTACTTAAATTTTTAATGATGAGAATACCTAAATTAGACAGTAAGCTAGTGTGAGACGAATATTATTGCTTAACGGTTAAGAAATGGCTTCTCCTTGAATCGTTTTCTTTAATTATTGCATACTGACATAATTTCTACTGTTTCCTCAAATTTTGAAATCGTGTTTAAGCTATCCTGTGATTAATTTTTGTTGATGAACAATCGTTTTTTGCAGATCCGGAAACTTCAAAAACGATATTGTTCAAGAACGACATCCAGCCTCTATTCTTGCGACTTCACTGGCCACTGTAGTGGAACAACCGCCCAAGAAGGAACAGCAATATGAGAACTTTCAAGTTGATGACCATGAAAATTCAATGCTTGATCGTTCATGTGCTACATCGCTTGCTGCAACGAAAGAGGCAATACCACAAAGTGTTCTTATAACTGCAGCTACCATCGACACTGCCACTTATTCCAACGCAAATGCATCACATCAGCGGTCAAGCAGTGATGCATCGGTTACTTATATCACATATGATGTTGCTAATGTAACGTCACTGCAGCAACAACATATAACAGGATTGCAGCCAGTTTCGCAGCTGGAATCGCTGAAACTCGGAACCGCTAAAGCTAAGCCATGGGTAGATGATTTTTTTTTTCTTATAGAACTTTAGATTTACATTTGCATATTCTTTGCAAATATTCGTATCTTTTTTTTCTGGGAGGTTTTTTTTTCATTTTTTAATATCAAATTAGTTTTTTTTTTCTTTCTTTAAGATTTTCTTATTTGAATTTGCTGACTTCTCTGTGTTGATAGCTTGTGTAATCGAATCTTCTTTTTGAAGATAACTGTTGGCGAGCATTTGCGAGCACGACATAATCAGCGTGTCATCCAGCAGCGACAACAGCAGCAGCAACAAAAACATCAACAACAACAAATAACAGAAATGCAGCGACAGTGTGAATCAACTACATCTTATGTACCGGAAACATTGGGTACCTATGCGCAAGCAATAACAGTGCCGATTGCTTATGCCGAAGACACTATTTCAGCTCGGTTAAGGCAGCAGCTTCCGGGCTCTGTATTGACATGCAGTGAGAATGATGTCGGCAATGGTGATCAATCTTCGAATCAGCTAAACTTGAAGCATAAGTTAGTTAACTAACCATGACATTCGTAGAAATTTGTTGGAATTTTTTCATCAGACAAATAATGGAAAATGAGAAAAGTGATGCCTCATCCACAATTTAGGAATTACGGTCTCTGTAGCATACATTTCCTTCGGTTGAAATTGGATTAAAAAAATAATCAAAATTGAGCTGAAAAAAGTTAAAGGCTGAATACTAGAATCCTATAAATACAAAATTATATATAATGGTTAATGAAAATTATTCCTCTGGTATGTAGTTGTTTTGTAGAATGAGACGCTGGAATATCCTTCCATAAGGAACATTTGTTTTCTCTTATATAATATGATTTATGCTCAGAGAGATTGTCATCTGTAATGGTTTTTTTAGTGCTACAAAACAGCTTTCTTATTATACAACGAGGGTACATTATGATGGTGACAGTGGCATTATTACTTGTAATACTTATGATCAACAGCAACAAAGGAGAAATAGTTTTAAAATGGAAGAACCGTTACTGAGGTAAATTGAGTAATGTGATTCAAACATTTAGGAAATATAATTTAACTGGTAGAAAATATCGAATTTGTTTTCGATGGGAAAGGGATTTTATAACTAAAATGCAAATTATTTTAGTGCATTGATAATAATTTATCGAAACGAGTAATATTGCAGTCCGAAAGATACATCTGCACGTGCCTCAGCACCACCAATTCTAACAACTTCCACTACTCCAATCAGTTATTCTGGTACGACACATGCACAATTACCAAAAAATGAGAAATGTGAAGCTCGGCCATTGGCAAGTATTATCACCACTGCACCACTCTCCACGTTTGTTATCACGATTACTGTTTGATTTCGCTAATTAGACAGTTTATTAAATTCGAAGGTTTAGGAGATACATGTGAATTTACTTAATGATAGATGTAATAATTAAAATATGGACACGAGCTTGACTCAAAGCTATTGAAAGATTTAAACTGGCAAGTAAACTGAAGATGCTAAAGTTTACGATTAGGAGACAAATTTTTATACCAAAAAATGTTTTCTTTAAATTCAAGGTCATGCTCTGCAACTGATTCAAATCAGTCCCAACAGCAGCAGACCGCAAATTCTGCAGTGTTCACTACACCTGTGGTATGTGGCACCGTACAACCGCAGCAAACACCGCCATCAGCATCAACAGCACCTTATCGGAACAATGAAAACATGTCATCTGCTTCAACTGATAATTATCGTTATGAGTGCCCTGAATGTCAGAAAACGTAAGCTCTATCTATCTGTATGTTGCAAGCTCTATCTATCTGTATGTTGCATCTTAAAGTTATCACGTCTACATTGTAGAGCAGTCTGATTTAGCTCAATCCATTATATGCAGCAAGCGGTTTAAAATAGTCCAAAATCACAGCGGTCTATGCCGCATATATAATCGCTCGAGTATGTGTTCAAGATAAGATATGACAACAGAATTCTGATTTAACTGCATGTTAGTACTGTAATGAATAGCACTATTCTGTATATCAGTTTTTGTAATATCCGGAATTTTGCAAGGTCTTTTGTTTTGCACATTGTGGATGATTCATGCGAATTATGGCATCTAACCACTTGGGAGTTGAATTTTTTTCGATAGTCTCAATAGTATTGAGCATAGGATTGGTTATATAGTTGGAAATGAGCAAAGTGCACCCCAGTGAATGCTTCGTTTTGTTTTCATTCTGACAAACTGTTTTTTCATTGCTCGAATTTTGAAGATGCGATTAGTCAATCGATTGATCGATCGGACAGTTGCTCGGTTGAGCATGGCAGACGAGTTGTTGCTCAATCTGTGTAAAATTTTGCTGCAAATCTTCGCATTTCATTTTCTGCGGTTGTGGTGTACTGTAGCCTTGCTTCTTTCCCCAGCATTCGAAGTTTCAGTTTCTGAAGTCTACTTCATTCTTGGAATCTTTCACTGTGCATCATATCGTATATTTAGATTTAAAAGATTGTGTAGACGTGTTATAAACATAACAGCTAGTTAAAGGTTAATTTTAGAATTAGAAATTATTAATTAGCAAATGGATTAGGCAAAATGATTTAACAATCGATGTAGCCTCTGCTTGGTCGTGCCATCGCAATGTTAATTATTCTTGTCATTTTATGTCGATTTTTGAAGAGCTACCATCAGTACAGATTGAAAAAGACCATTCTGTTGTAGACCTGTCAAGTTTGCCCATATGTGTATTGATTCGATCTGTGTCGGATAAGTTGCATTTCAGATGAATTTCTGCATTATATTTCAATTTCAAACATTTTATTTGTCTACCTTTCTATAGCTGGACGACCTATTGTTCTCAATCTTGCTATCTCTAAACTTTCAGATTAAGTTGTAGCTTCTTTACTAACGCAATTTTTTACTCTTCATTAATCTCATTTTTATTCATTTATGCCTCAGTGTCAGTTTTGGGTAATGACTTTCATTTTTTTTATATGTAGTTTTTTTATAAGGAATGCTTTTTTAATATTCTGCGGTAAAGAATTTGTTTTTTCAACTGTATGTAAGAAAATTGTTTTTCCTTTTCAGGATTGAGTTTTATTAAGCTTCAATTAACTCATTTTTTTTTTCAGTTATTCGTGCCGAAAAAACGTAAAAAGACATCGTATAGCAGTCCATAAATTAACACCGGAAGAAGTGGCGAAGATTGAGCCTGTACGAGTATTGCTTACAAATGATAGTGAACATAAGCAGCGACAACTCCAACAACAGCGACAACGACAACTGCGATTATTTCAAACTACCGAATTAAAGAGTGTCAAAAGGTAATTAATATCTTCTTTATTAATACCTTTTTTGTCATAGGATGGTGCTTTATTTGGATTGTTATTGGTGACAAATTTCCTTCATCCTAAATTTTGTTTTGGTCAGTGATTTGTTCGACGAGCATGAAATCCTTAGTCTGAACGGTTTTCTTTATCTTCACACGAAGTAGTCTTGTTTTCTTTTAATTTTATTATAATGTCAGTTTCGACTGATTTTCAAGTACAGAAAATTGAACATTGTAAACAAGTATATCTTCCTAATTCAATTGATCTTTTTGCAGTTCGAAATTGTCAAATGAAAAATCAGATATGCAGCAGCAACAGCAGCATTCTTCCGACTTTGGAAATTGTACAACCCAATTAGTGCCAAATGTTATGCTTTCACAGCAATTCCATCTTCAGCTAGAACAGCGGCAACAGCAGCTTCATCAACGTCAACTGGAATCGCAACTTCAGCTTCAGCAGGTACAATTTCAGGAACAGCAGCAGATTATATCAGGATCTGATCACTGTCGAGGTTCTGCAGTAGTAACATCAGTGATACCTGTAAGTACCAGTTGGACATCTTGCATTACATCCATGCCACCATCAACACCGCAGAATATTGGTGAATATCGGTTGAGCGAAGAAGAAGGTGCACAGCTGGCAGAAATTGAAGAGGATCTAAAACGATCTGCAGAATACAAATTGGTAAGTTATTGTTTTCTGATCTTCCATATATCTAATAATATGGTAATGTACAATTTAGTAACTGAAAGATAAGGTATATTGGTGTGTCAATTCTTGAGATCCTTATTCTTTAATGAATGATTATGATATTTAAACTTCATTTTCTTTTCTGGTTTCATTGAAAATATGAAAGTAGGGAGTATATACATTTAAAACATACATAGGTGATATTTAATAGTAATTCTATTTCATAAATTGAAATGTTCCAGACTGAAGCAGATAGTGAATCGGATAACAGAAGACCGGTGGCTGAATTAGCAGAAGCAGATACAACTTTTCATGAAGAATATGAAGAAAGCACTGGGTAAGGATATTATGATAGTTTTTTAGTTTCCTGTTCCTAGTTATAGGATCTTAACGGCAGTATTCCAATGCGTGTTTACGCATATAATTTTTTGATTGAAGTGTGCTTAGACGTATTTTTTGATATTGATGAATAAAGCTATACCTTAAGTCCTTGGGTACAGTATAATCGAACTGAAGTCAAATAATGGGATATTAATCGCTCTTTTGTTTTCTAGACGATTACATCCACCATCGCTATCATCAAATGGTGGGGTTGTTTCACCGCCGTCAAATCCTCCTTCAAACAGTTCTGCTTCATCAAACTATCCTATCACGAGTCCTGTGGTTAGTATTTTTACTTCCCCACATAATTCACGTCCTCTCTCGCAGATGTAGAAAAGTATATTATGAAAACAGAAGCATGATATATACATATTGTTAGCCTTTCTACTAATTCGAAGACAAAACTTCCCACTGATGATTCCATAAAGATAGTTTGCGGAAAAATATAATAATTTACTATTAAATTTACTATAAACGATATATATATATATAATCTTTGCGTGCAAACCATCTTTATGGAATCTCATTTAGAGTTAGAGTGGAAGTGAATATTCACAAAATGGAAAAATTTTGAAGATACTAGGTTGGGGGTTTATGAAATTATTTTGAGCAGTGCTTTTCAGTTGACAGTGTTTAAACACTAATGGAAGCCATTTTGTGGAATAAGAATTTTATATATTCCGAGTTTGTTCGAATTTGTATCAGGAACTTTATTTAAAGAAGAATCCAAACATGAACTTGGAATAGAGGGTTTTTATTCGAAATCCGTATTTCAATTGTAAATGTAATAAATGTGACTCATTTTGCTTAGTGCATTTTAGTGGATGATTTATAGTATTTATCGGACTTTTTACTTTTTTCAGTTTGCATATTTTTAGGCCCCTCATGTATCCTCAGTTATATCGGAGAGCGGTGGTTTTGCTGCACAATTGCCGCCCATTAAAGCACCACCTCCTTTGTCACCATCTAACTCTTCGCAGCAGATGGCGATGATGCAAAATCAGGAAGTGTACCATCAATCGCAACTGCGCATTTCTTTAAATGAAAGTTAGTTATGCAGATTTGTATATTTTTCCACTCATTGCTCAAGAAAAAAGATTGCAAAAAAATCAATTTTCAAAAAATCATATATTTTTAAGCCCCTTCTATCCTTAACCTATAGGTTAACCTCCAAAATCCCCGTCTAATACTGAAAGCTAGTTTAATTGTGGCAAATAAATCAATTCAGTATTCATTAATGAATTCTCTTAGGTCAAGCGCCAAATCCAGTATCGATTGGTGGTACTACTGTGTTCACAAAACCAGCAAACATTGTTCGTTCGCAATATCCTCCATCTACAAAGTCTCCCTCAATGAGAAATTATTTTCACTCATCAGTGAAGCAGAAGCAACATATATGCGTTGATTGTAATAGGTTGATTTTTATTCATGTTTTTTGACTATTTTAAATGTAAGAATTTATGTTTTCGAAAATTTCGGTCTTTTTTTCATCAGACCAACTATTTGCATAGTCTTGTTATAAGTAGATATATCTGTACTCTCAATGCTTGTACTGCAGTGTATGATGTCCCGTTGATGAAGAATTACCAATGCTCAAGGGGCTCAGACTGCAGAATAAATATTCGTTGTAATCTAGCTGTTCTTTGCTGGTACAATACTTTAAGTATTATGTAATTAAATTAAGGGCACTTTCCTCCGATTATTCGCTTAAACGACATCGTTCAACGTGTGTTGAAGCGAAGGCTGCAGCTGCAGCAAAAGCAATGGATACGGCGACTTCTGGTGTAGACATGCGCAATGATGAATGGTATGCAAGACTTACCGCATAAATTTGTCTAACTTCCTGTACAAAAAAAATCTTCTTGTCTAAAAAGTATTTCAATCTATATCCATAATACGTTTTATCGAAGCGAAAGATGGCTTAATGTTTTTATCAAAAAAATTTTTCAATGACAACACGTTTTATTGTCTTTATGTCTGTTGCAAATTAACAAAAAAGAGCGAAAACTCAAACCACTAATACAGTTTTGCCTATTCAGCACAAAAACACTCCCAGAGCATTATAATGACGCCGGCAGTTCGAGGTCATCTATGCTTTCGAACGAGCCAACAGCGAAAGAATCTTCGGTAATTTTTACAATCATTGCATATTCTTTCATGTATTAATCCTTGGCAAAATAATTCACATTGTTGATGTGATGATGAGATGAAATTTCTATACTTTTAAAACATTTTTGTTTAAAATCATTGGTAGTACATAGTGCTCTTTCAATTAATTCATTTTAAATGGTATTTGTTAATACATTTTTTTGTCAAATGATAATATTTCATTATTTTTCAAAAAATCTTTAAAAAACTTAGATATATTTGATTGTTTCAGTGTATAAACGCGTCATCTTACGGACCGAGCGATTCAGAATTGCGTGTATCACAGCAGCTTACGCCAGTATCTGCAAAAGTTGTCTTCTTGCTTTTGTCATTTATTTATTTAAATTTTGCATTTCTGTTTTCTTAAACTACTTTTGAAACTCATAATTAAGCTCATTTTTCAGAATACCGATATAATATTACCTCAGACATATTCTTCGTATGACGAAGATGCGGATAATGGTGTGCTGTGTCGTGTTTGTGATTGCTGGTTACCTGGGCAGCGGGAATTCGATCGCCATTGCGATGAACTGCATCCAGTTGCTGCTGATCCAGATAGTACAACCGTACCACAAACGTTAATACTTATTTGATATTTGCATGGGCCGTGTTCCACGATTTTTTTTCAATGCATAAACACCTTTAGCATTTACTCTGTTCTACTATACCATTTTTCGATCTGCAAATGTGAAGCACATAATACATGAATTGAATTATAGCAAAAAGATAAATTGGCTCTAGACCAATCAAAGTAACTGAAATACTTTTTACTAGTTACAGATTTGAACAGACATCGCTGTCATCCGGATCAATAATGTTGAGCACAGCGATTTCATCGGAAGTGAATTTGAATCCGTCTGGTCCATACTGTGCTGCTGCTGCAAACCGAAAGCGAGTGTCTTCGGATCCTCTTGAATCCGGAAGCTATTTTAGCGCTAAAAGTGGGCGTCATTTATGTCAGGTATTAAAGTAATTTTTCCTTTTGCATTTGAGAAATTATTGAAAGTAATGCAAACTTCAAAAACGTTTAAATAATCAGGATTAAAAAGCGTTTGGGGTCTTCAGTGTATAGTTGCAGACATGTGGTAAATATTATTCGTCAGAATGGAATTTAGAAAGACATCGACGAGAAAGTTGTCCACTGCACATGAAACGAATAAAAAGTGTTGCTGATGAGAAGACAAGGTAATGAGTAGTTGTGAACCTTATAATTATTTCGAATTTGGTAATTAAAGGAATAGTTCCGCTGATAGTTGTTAGAGATGACTTAGTTCAAATATTTGTAATTGGATTTCATTAAACTGCAGCAAGATGCCAAATTATTTGATAAAATCCGAAATGTTTTTGATGTACTTTTCTATGACACTGGTTGCAGCGATGAATATTCGATTGTTACTTCATTATAGACTGAAGTTTAAATATGCATGAAATGATTGATAGGGTGGATTTTATCGCTGTCATTACTGTCCTGTTAGATATAGGTCAAAGAAGCCAACTCTTTTTAACTAATTTAGTAAATCATTATTTAAGATTGGCGAAATTGGAGCCAGTGGACTTGTTGCAGTTTCAGACAACTGTAAGTACCAGATGGGTGGATGACTGCGCTTTGATTGTCGGTGAATCTCGAATTGGTGTTCCAAGAGCGGTAAATTTGTAATTCTAGCAAGATTTGTATGAAAAGTATCTATAAGATATTAATAACTGCCAAGCGGAAAGGATGGTTGATGAGAACTATTACTGGTCAATTTCATAGGGTCTAGAAGTATGGTGAGTTGGATTAGAGTAAAAAACGAAGGTATAAGGTGTTTAAATGCTATAATAACAGTTTTATAATGCTGAAAGAATTAATGATTACATAGCTTTTGGAATCCAAATAATTAATATTTTTGTTTTAGATGCTTTCGAGAGCTTCAACATATTTCTCATCTTTGTTTCAATATTATGAAAATCACAGCGATGTTCCACTGCCAGTTCCTGTTGATCCCATCGCATTTCATCAAGCTATAGAAGCATTTAAGGGTCGATTACAACTTGACGGTATTCTTTTAAGTTCCTATCAATTTTTTCTAGCAATTTGTTCGACAGTGTCAATTTAATTTGACGATTACACTTGTTGTCACTTTTTTGTAAAATTCTTGTTTTCTTTTTCAAGTTTTGATGTTAAAATAAAATTTAGGCAAAAATATTGACTGCATATTATTCATGGCAGATAAATTCAAAATTAAACCTCTTTATGATCGATGTGAACGTTTTATCGCCGAAAAAGTAAGCTTTATTATTCATTTCTTTATCATACTTCTTGGTTTTTAATTCTTGTTGATGGCTGCTCTGTCATTGTAATCATCCATTTTTTTAAATTGATGCTCTTAACTCTCGTTTACTATAGACGCATCCTCTCTCTGAATACTCTCGATTTTCATGCAGAAAAAGCGGTGATAGAGGGTCTGAGCACTTGAAATAAGAATGCTAACTGGATTATTTAGCGGCTTTATTGTGCACAAAACATGACTTTGTGAACTATATTGATTTTGCTTACGTTGTCATTGGTTGTATGTCAAGATGAATGCAGGCTAGTTCCATTTTTTAAATAGTGTTAATGTATTTGGATCTACTTCAGTTGCCTTCATCATCAGTGATGCATGCGATCCGGCTAGCAGAACAGTATCGAATGTGTGAAATAAAACAGGCGCTGTTCGATTCGATTTCTATAGATGTATTTCGTAGTCTTGCAGCGGATGAAGATTACAGGCAGATGGGTGCAGAACTGAAAGCTGAACTTTTGGAAAAGTGGGGCACTTTCTTATAAGTGGGAGTTCCTGTTCCACTTTACTAGTCTCAGGTTTGGCACCTTGTACAGTTTATCATCGTCTTTATAAAGTTATATTGTTTGTAGGCCTTTTCTCCATGTACTAATGATATTTTTATACCGTTGTGGAATTGCCTCTAGTTTTTTTTAAATTTAAAAATCTATTTCAAGAACATCTTACATTTCTGAGGTAACTTTAACTTGAAGAGAATGGAATATGATTTCGGATTATGTGAACTTCGGAGCTTAATTAATATTATAATGAAAATATTATGACAGTTATGCGTCCTCTTTGTGTACAAATTTTACTTTTTTTTTTTTTACTTTTTTTTGAATTTTTTTGATGCACAGATCTTAACGTAGTAGTTCTGAATGCTGTCGCTGTTGAACTTTTTGTTTATTCTGGTACATGTAAAGTCCACTTCCATTGTTCAAAGCTTTTTTGGTACAATGGAATAACCGTTACATGTGTTGTTTTGGTCACCGTTGCAATTGGGTTTTTAACTAGGGCAATTGCTAATGGGGCTATGATTATCCGTTGCAAAAATAGTTTTGGTGGACTGAAATTTTCTTTTCGAAAATTAGGAAGATATCATTATTTGAATCCAGCTGTTGATATTATTAATATCAATTCATCACAGTGTTAGTAGAACTGGTTTCACTTTTCATTGAGGTTTGTGTAATCTTACTATTTGAGACTAATGTTTTTGAACTTCGAGTTTTTTTGAAGGATCTAACAGTTGGTGAAATTTTATCCAACCATTCAAAGGGAAGTAACTAAATAGATAGGGATGAGATGAATAAGAGGGAGAAGGGAAAGAGGCTAAAATCTCGCTCTTATTCTTTTATTCTAGAGACTGGAATCTCTTGTTTGCAAGCTAAGCAAACATTTGAACCAGAGTTTCGTGTCCTTATATCTGTGTTCCTAAATCTAAAGTACGGTACAGAAATTGATGAGACGCTTTCTCTCTTCCAAACATCTCAAAAATATATTCTAAATATTATTGTTTGTAGTTATTTTGTGGCTAGGATCTCAACTGAACGCATAACGATCTCTTTGAAATAATTCATTCTGACCCTTCATTAGTAAACAGACCATCTTATCATTTAATTTTCTTTGAAACTATCACAAGTCTTTTCTTTACCCTTACATTTTACCATGAGTAACAGTGTCTTCGGAGTAATCTACAATCATGTTTTCTCGAACTGTTTGTGAGCAAGCTCCTTTTTTCTATCTATTTGAGAACATATTAGTTCTCTTCAGAGCAAGCAGAAAGTTTTTACTTTCTGCTAATGAAAGTCTTCTTTTCAGAAAGAACAGTGATTCGGGTTGATGAGAAAAAACATTTGAAGGAGGTATCGCTGTTATGTCTGTATTTTCATATTTCCGCAAATATTCAGTGTTCATTCCGATAGCTTCAATATTTACTTTTCTCCTTCTCTTGTTACTAATTATTTTCGCACTTATGACTGGAAAGTCTTTCAATTTATTTGCAAGCGTGCTTAAAACTATTTCATATGATTCTTGATTAAAATTGTTAAAGGCATTAGATTTCAAAAATAAAAGCTTTCCATTCCATCTTTGACATATGTACTCTTTTATTTGTATGTTATACTAAACCAAATTTCATGTTTTTTTATTCGGACTTCTTAAAAAGATGCTGATATGGAAAAGAGCTTTACTTCTGTCCTTCATTTCTTTTGCGCAATTTCTATTTTTGTTGTTTCTTTTGTAAATTTTTTTTGCTAGGCAGAGAAGATTAGATTTCGGAATTATCAGGAGTGGAGACCTGAAACGGAATGTCTTAATAGTAACCACTGCCTGATTCCTTAAATACTGTATAACATATTTCTACAAGTACTGATTGCTTAACCAGAAACCCGTGCTTTCTGATAGGTCGGCATTAGCGAGTTAAAGTACATTTCAGTTTTTCAGAGATTTATTTCATCTGAGAGAAAAAACCTACAGTTATTTTCTGATTTTTGATTTGAAGCTTTCTGCATAATAACGTGCTAGTCGTCGTTTGAAATACTACCAAGCATTATTATTACATTTTTTGCAATTAGCAGCAGGAAATGGGTTTTAGTATTTAAGGTTTCAAGCAGAGTTCACCTCCGTCAATAGATCCGTTTGAATGAGTTAAATTTTAAAACATTTCCTAAATATTTTTCATTTAGATTATAAGATGTATTTTGTCAATTCTCCAATTTTTTAAATCTCATTTTACATTTGCAACACTTCTCTTCCAATTTCGACTATTTCTTTATTGTTTTTTCTGGGATTTTTTATCTGTATTAAAAGTTCACTCCGATCGCGTGTGGCCTGCAATCTAACTTCTATTAATTTCTATTTGTGGATATTGAAAGTAACAGACTTCGATGTCTTCAAGAACAAGCACTTATACTAGTGATTGTAATTTCAATTTGTTCATCGCGACAAAAAGCTTATTTCATTTGACATAGCCATTTCGTTTTATCTCTCACGGGAAAATCATGTTCATTAGCATATATCATTTTCATATTACAATGCTAATAATGTTCATAATTATCCAGTTGCAACCTCACTTTGAAATCTTCGAAAACAAATGGAACCTTTATTTTTACTGTTTTACATCAGTTGTCTATAAAGACTTAATTTATTTTCCTCTTATTTTCTAAAATTGTCAAGTTTTCCAAGTATGTTGTCCTCTCTGAATGATTCGTAAAACATTTCCTCTTATTATTGTTCTTACTATTTACTCTTTTGAATGTATCTTAAAAATTATAGATAAAACGAAAACATCTCGTACACAAGTATGAATATGTGTCTGTTTTTTCATTGTTTACGTAACATATTGTCATGAAGTATATATTAGGTTGCTGTTTTCTCTTTTTTATGTTGTTTTTCTCTTTTTTATTTAGTTAATGTATCACTTATTTACAAATAAAAATGTTTCCTATTCTGAGATAATATTTTCATGATATTCGTATTTCATAAATTTTTAGAAGATTCATCTTTACAAATGGACTGTGCATTTTCATAGACGAAACTGCTTACAACACTTCCGGAAAATTGAATCCAACAGAATTTCACTAAAATTCCTAGAAGAGATTCTGAAACGAGTAAATTAATAAGGATTGGAAAATACTTTGAAAATGTCTCTTCGCTAGAAAATATCGCTTCTCTAGAGAATGATTCACTGGAGAGAATCACATGGAGAAAGTGATGCCTTCAGTTGATTTTGCTCATTTCCGATTTATAACAAACAAGTAAAATACGCTATGCCACTGCTTTGATTGAACGGGAAAAAGAGTACTTATTCAAATTAAAATAATTTTTAATCAATCTATTATCATCTGATTTATCATTAGTGACGACAATAATTGATTTATTGCCTTCGAATCTCTTCATCGTTATTGATTCAATTGTAGTAATAGAATCGATATTATTCAATTCGCGAATAAACAATAAATTTATCTGGTAAATTCTAGTAATTTCTTCATTGAATTGATAGATTATCTACAGTATATTGGTAGTGATCTTATCTGAAAAGTGTTTCAAATATTTACGTTTAAAGATGTGAAAAATAACATAGCACATATGATAAGTGAATTTACTGTTTATATTGTGAATACACGATTCTTTTAACAGTTAATGATGAATGCTTACTGGAAAATTAGAAAAATAATGCAATCGAGCGGGTCAGAAATGGCAATAGTGCAGATATGTGTATTATGTGTATTAGTAATTGTAGTTATCATTTGAAAGTTGCTATTCTGCAAATTGTTGCCGAATTCCATTTCAAGCTATAAACTTAATTAATTGCTTTAATTAATAGCAATCAATTTTCGAAACTTATGTAAGTTCTGACTTAACATCTTTTGGTGATAAGATAAGATTGAAAGAACGTTAAAAAATGTTATATGAATGACACTGAGTAAATTTCATTTATTTTATAAAAAAAGCAAGCCAAAATGCCTTTGATTGCCAATTAACTGACATCATGAAAATTAAAAGCCAAAAATTTCTGCATTAAATTAAAAGCCAAAAATTTCTGGCAAACAAAATTATTCAGTACCGTATTTGATGGAAAGGTTTCCATTTATGTAAATTTTGCATCATCGTTTATCATTTCTTTTCAAGCATCGTTATAAGTTGTCTCTATTGCAAAAGATAATTTTATAAAGAAATCAGTAACAAATTCCGAAATTTTGTTTGAATTATATTTAATTAATAGCAGCGAAACCTTTTTGTACTTTTACGTGCTCGCATGTTGTTCATGTTTTCATAGCAGAATTAAGAGAACGATGACCCTCGTTCATTATGTGAGCAAATACGATACAGAGAATTTTATTCATTGAAAACAAAAAAGTGAATCAGTGTCAGACATAAGATGAATAACTTATAACAAATAACAGTAAGAGCAATCGATGATAAAAATTGATTAGACTCCAAGAATTCAATTAATGAAATACAAAACAATCTGCAATACCAAAAACAGCGATCCATATTTTATTTAAAATGCTTAGCTGTTTCCTTCTTCAAACCTCTTGACGTGTAATTTCAAAATGTATTACTTTGGTTGCATGCAATTCAATTGGAAAGGAACTCTCATTGTTGTAAGTTTCTTTTAAAATCTCGTCTTTGTCTTTTCAAATCTCATTTTTGCGAAAACTTTCTTGCATATTAAAAATTTTACGGCTTTTCACCATTATGATCTGTCGTCATATGAAATCTCAAATAATATGGCATAGCAAACGTCTGTCGCATTCCGAACAATCGTACGGTTTTCCTCGATAGCATTCATCGTGTCTTTTTCCGAATGCCAGAAATCAGCAAAACTTTCGTTGCATCTCGAATTATGCAGCTTTTCATCAATATGAGTCCTCTTTTGACCTCTCAAATGCAAATCGATATGATTCCTCTTCTGATCTTTCAGATGCAATAAATGAGAAGCTTTTTATAGGTCATCATACTTTTTCAAATGCAATAAATGAGTGAAAATTTTCCCACAAATCGA